GCAGTACTGAAGTTTGAAATTGGGGCTTCACACTTGCTAAGTAAGTTTGCTCTACCAATGAGCCAACTCTGCTGGCCTTGTTTGAGCTGGTTATTTTTGAGGTAGGGTCTCTTTTACTGCTCACTCACCTGACTGGTTTACAATCTACCTGGGATGACAGGAATGTGTTACTATGCCCAGCTTTTTCCCTTCAGATGAGTCTGGTGAACTTTTCTGGTCAGACTGTCCTTGAACCATGACCTCCCATTCTTATTCTCCCGAGTAGCTAGGATCACAAGCATGAGCCACTGGTGCTTAACACAGTGGCTTAACATTCTGTTGTGATTGTAAGGTATACAATCCTTTCATACAGTTCAATAGTTGTCTAGAGGCAAAAGACATACAGGGTTGTTTTCATTTGTTGGCTGAATTAGCTGCTTTTTGTTGCTTTTTTCTACATAGAGCTTTTAAAAAGAAAAAAGCTGGGCGCCAGTGGCTCATACCTGTAATCTTAGCTACTCAGGAGGCTAAGATCTGAGGATCACAGTTCAAAGCCAGCCGTGGTTCAAAGCCAGCCCAGGCGGGAAAGGCTGTGAAAACTCTTTTTTTTTTTTTTTTGCCAGTCATGGGGCCTGGGCGCTGTCCCTCAGCTCTTCAGCTCAAGGCTAGCACCTACCACTTGAGCCACAGTGCCACTTCTGGCTTTTTCTGCTTATGTGGTGCTGAGGAATCGAACCCAGGGCCTCATGCATGCAAGGCAAGCACTCTACCACTAAGCCACCTTCCCAGCCTGTGAAAACTCTTATCTCCAATAAACCACCAGAAAGTGGCTCAGTGGTTCAAGTGGTAGAGCACTAGCCTTGAGCATAGAGGAGCTCAGGGACTGGCAAAAAAAAAAAAAAAAAAAAAACCTTGATGTGGTAGAATGCAGCTAGTAGTAAAGTGTTGGCTTGGTGTGTTTGAGGTCCTGGGGTTAACCCCGTAACCTGCTCCCAAAAAAACAAGTGACACAAAGCAGTGACACAGACTTGAGTTCAGCAGTGTCGAACAAAGCAAGCCTGCTACTTCTACACATGTTGCCAGGATCACCTGGCTCCTCACTTGTGGTCTTTGAGGTCCTTAATAATCAAATGTAATGGAGTCTTCCCACCAAAATTTGACAACATGCCTCTAGTAGACCCTTGACTTCCAGAAGGTCCCTCTGGACCCTGTCCTCTCTGTCACCTCTGCCTCACCACCTGGTGAAATCCTCAGTCTCAAGAGAGCCTGCTTATGTGTAGAGCTGGCCGTGCTCAATGTCCCAATAGGCCGAAAGCTTCAAAGTGCCCCTCTCTCCTGGGCTTTCTTCCAAAAGGGCGTGGCAATGTGTTGGCTGACAGGCCCACAGGGATAGAAGAGACCATGGATGTATGGCTGGTATCCTCAGTATGTAGGATGACTTCAGACCCTGCAGACCCTGGCTGTAGCCAAGAGGTATTGAGACCTGCTTCCTCCAGGGGACTTGCAGCTGCAGTAGGCATACTGCTGGGCCTGCCACAGGCTGCTGCCTGTTGGCTTGGCTTTGGCCTTGGATCAATTGCATTGCTTTCAGCAAGGAGTAATGAATAGGCTTAAACAGAGCAGAAGGTCAGGAACAGTCCCCAGGGCTCCAAAGCCTTGCACTTGGAACTCCTGTCTGGGAAGCAGTAGACCTGCAGAGTAGCTGAACTCTGCAGCAGGAGTGGATCTCCTGACCCCCAGTCTAGTTAAAGCTCCCCTTCCCTGACTTGCCCTGGAATTATATTCTTTTCCAAGTACAGTCATGCCATGATGCAGTTAAAGTGCAACATGACATTCTGGCCTCAGATGGACTGCTTATACGACAGGAGTTCCAATAGGATTTATCATTTAGCAATGTAGCTGTTGTAGTTTGCATAACATGGAATCACCTGTTTCTCAGAATGTATCCCTATCATTAAGTACAGTTCAGAGCTTTTTTACAAAGTTGTAAGTCCATCATACCATGATTCCCGAAGGTCTTTGTCTCAGTAGTCAGCTCTTGACCTCCTCACTGGGGCCTGGCATGAGGGGCAGGTGGCCTAGTTCAGTTCATACAGGAAAGTGAGGGTTTTGACCTGCACAAGACCCTGGCCTAGAAGGGAAACATTGATCTGACTCCAGATCTCCTTGTTCTGTCCATTCTCACAGTCTGACGTGAAGTCAGCCTTCTCCCACGTGGGAGATAGAAATGGGGTCCTGAGTTGGGTGCTACGCTGATTCTGTGTTAGAAGACTGTTTCCTTGGAGCTGAGTCACATTCCACATGGCCCCAAAATATAAACGCCCCTGCAGGCATCTCAATACCAGTTCCATCGCCACTCTTGGGAAAGTTTCCAGCTGGCAGCTCACAGAAGGGGTAGCTTCTATGTGTCTGTGAGGTTTGGTGTGCAGACAGCTCTGCACAGGGCCTTGAGTAAAGGGAAAGAGTGCACCATACAGTGGGCCTGAATGAGCGGGGGCCAGGCTGGGGTCAACCCTGGGGTTCAGAGCAAAGGTTTGCATTTTAGGGTACAGCCTGTACAGATCACACACCACCCCACCCACCTGGTGCTGAGAAGCAGATGCCATGTAGGATTTAGACATTGCTCAGTAGGCTGGGTTGTGGGATACGAGGGTGGCTTTGCAGAAAGAGTTGGGTTCCTGGGAGCAGTGGGAAGGTGGCTGTGGTGGGTCATGGGCACAGGCAGCTGGAGGCAAGGCTCCATCTTCCCAGGTTGCATGAGTAACTTCCTGCAGAAAGGTATGGCAATTGCTAGGTAAAGGGTGACCAGCTCTTCTTCGGGACACTCCTTCCATCCGAGACCCCTGAGTCTGCCCCAGCTCTCTGTGTCTTGCTGAAGCTCTAAGGGTTTTCTTTTTGATGCCCTCATTGGTAAGAATTCTCACAACTCAGGGATGCTGCAGGCTTGTGTGTGTCAGTTTCCACAGTGCCTGCTACACATGTTCTGTCCTTCCTTCACAATCTGGAGCCTCCTAACACATCAGCTACCCACTATGTTGCCCTCCTTGTACTAACAAAGGCCCAAATCATTCCTTGCTGGCTGAGTCTGCACCTGAAAAAAATGCAACAGTGGGACACTGAGCATCTTGCCAGTTTGATCTGTAAAGCCCTGTGATGATACCCTCAGGAACACAAGCACCTTACCCCTGCACACATTTCTGGCTCCTCTTCTGCTCATAATTCAGCTATGGAAAGCACCTCTGCTCCCTAAGAGCAAATGGCTTCTGCAGCAGGGGCCATTGCTCAGGTCTGAGCAGCAGACACACAGCTTTAGCCAGGGATGTGTGGCACTCCCAACATCCTCAGTGTTGTACCTAGAAATGGGTAAAGGTAGTTTAAGGCTCAGAATAAATCCTTCAAAACACCTGAGATGACTGTGAGACTGTGCAGCCCCTGGGGACATCACGAGCTTGTTTGCCTTCTCTGTGACATGCAGATAGCACATGCTATCCACAGGCTGCTCTGAGGCTGTGGAGGGCTCAGCACTCCTGAACCCCCATCACCTGACTCAGAATGGCAGAACTGTTCCTTCCCTGGGTCCTTACTCAGGACAGTCTGACTTTCAAGAACACCCCAGACCAGTGTCTGCAATGGAATTCCTGTGGCTACACCTTGCTTTCTTCTCATTTTCTCCACTTTGCCTTTGCCTGAAGGCTTGTGGGTCAAGTCTGCCTGTGATGAGCTCTGAGGTCTGAGTTGGAAGGCACACAGGCTGTTGGTGTTTGAGTTCTGAGAATTGTCATGAGCCACTGTCCATACTGTCCTCTGCACTGAAGGAATGTGTCCCACTTTGTGCTGCACTTAGGGGACAGGTGTGGATATGGAGGGCTGAAGGAGCCACTAGTGTATGGCAGGCAGCTGTAAGGGAAATGCGCATTGAGCCCACAAGGGCTGCCTCCGCTACAGCAGCGTGTGTGGATTCCAGCTTCTTTACTATGTATTCAAGTTTTCTAAATCCTTTATGGTGTGGATGTATGCTAGCAAGGGTTCTTCCGCTGAGCTGCTCAGGTTTTGACTTGTATTTGTATATATTTTGTGGTACTAAGTTTGAGCCACCTCTCCTTGTTCTGGGATGTCAGACAGGCACCACTGCCTTTGTGCTTCCCCAGGAGTTTGGGATGATTTGGGATAGGCGTGTGCCACTGTACTCAGCCATTGGTTAATTTGGAATTCCACAAACTTTTATTCCTGGGCTGCCCTTGATCCCATCTCTGCTTCCTATTGACTTGGATAACAAACGAGCCATTGTGCCCAACTATTGTTTATCTTTCAACAAATGCTTATTCCAAATACCTATTATATGCATTGACACATTCCTCCAGCCCAGCACTAGGTAGGCTGAAGCATCAGGAGGGTCACAAGTTTGACACTTTTAGCTCTGATCTTTTTCTTTCCATTTCTCAAACTGTCAGTTGAGCCCAAAGTTTGGGCTTGGTCCCTCTGGTCCTGCTGATTGGTTAAATTTAAGTTTATGAACCCCATGTCTGGAAGAATTATTTAGTGTGTCTGTTATTTAGTGTGGTTGGACTATAACAAGTCTATGCTGGGCTCTATTTGAAAAGCTATACATACAATTCTGTGTGCTATACTGCCGAGTTGTTTTCTAGATCATACTATTACTTGCAGAGAGTAGTCCCAGTGAGAATGTTGTTAATGGCTACTCTTATGATGCCATGTATGGAGGAGGGCCAGAGGACCCAGGCTACTCTTCCTCATAGTAGGTGCTCAGGGAATGTGGTGAAGAATGGACTCCACTAACTCTCTCTTCCTCTTCCCACTCTCAACAAACAAGAACCATAGCTGGCTTCTTTTGCATTCCTTCATAGATGGGAAGTGTATCTCTTGGGAAGAGGAGGGCACACAGCCCAGCACCCAGGGCACTCTGGGGAGAAAGTGGAACTGTGAGGCAGGGTGGGAGAGTGGAGTAGTTCAGCCTGAGGGTGGCCTGACTGACAGTCTTCCTTCTGATCACCTTGAAACAGCTCCCCAGAGCCGTTTGTCCCAGCCATCAGCTGCAAGACCTTCACTTGCCTCCATTCTCTGAGCAGCAGGATCTGAGAGGTATGAAGTCTGCTGTCACCCTTTTCCCTAGCTGCAACAGTCCTTCGTAGAGGTGGCCCCTTGTGGGTGTGTGTGTCCTAAAATGTTGGAGGAGGTGCCAAACTGTCCTTGGTGGAGCCTTTGGTCAGGTTCTCAGAACGTCAGGTCTATCGGTTTACTTCAATGGCTCCTGTTCCCAGGACCACCTCCAGCTTCCAAAGAACGCAGGTGTTGGGGATGGTGGGGGCATCCCCAGTGCCAGAGTCAGTCCACTGGTCACACTGCAAAAGACAGCTTTCTCAGCCTACTAGCCCTTCCCATCCCATCTTAGAGATTTCATGTACCTGAGCCCAAGGCAAGAGACCCCTGCCTGCAGGAGGAGGAGCCAAGGAGGCCTGTTACTTGGGCTTACACTTCGGGTGGTAACCAGAGTCCAGAGAACTCAGCAGTTCATGTCTGTGTATTCTCTCCAGTCCAGGAGCATCAGTGAAGAGAAGATGTCTAATGAACCACCCCCTCCTTATCCTGGGGGCCCTACAGCCCCCCTTCTGGAGGAGAAAAGTGGAGCTCCACGTACCCCAGGTAGGGTAATCCTCTCTTCTCCAGATGTGTTGTTCACTCTTAACAATGAGGTTATTTTGCTCTAAAATCACTCCATGTCCTAAAGCAGTGATGTCTATCCCGGCATATGTTGGGCCCAGATTTGCTTCTTAATTCTTGCCTTTTCTATCCAGGCCGCACCTCCCCAGCTGTGATGCAGCCCCCACCAGGCATGCCACTGCCCCCTGCAGACATTGGTCCGCCACCCTATGAGCCACCAGGCCACCCAATGTCCCAGCCTGGATTCATTCCTCCCCATGTGGGTTCAGATGGCACCTACATGCCTCCAGGTGAGTTGGAAGGGACACAAGGAGATCACTGTGGCAGATACTATCCAACCTTCACTGTGGGCAGTTACTGGTCATAGACTGTGGACAAGGGATGGCACAGACACCTGGACTCTGGCTCAGGGCAAGTTCCTCAATCACAGTGGGTGTTCATGTAGTCTTCTTGCCAAGGACTTGAGCCTCAGTGGAGGTCTGACCTCTCCTTACCAGCAGCTCTCTGGCACTACCACTCAGATTGGGCTGGTCCTGACACAGAGGAGCTCTATCCAGGAGTGGGGTGGAGGTAGGGCAAGGAAATTTCCATCCTTGCAGGCCTGGTGACCAGTCCTTTCTTGCCATACACAAGAGAGCAAAGGGAAAAGAGTGCTGCATTTCTGGCTCTGCCATATTTATCTTGGTCCCATGGAGTAGAAACTAGGAAAGATCGGACAAATATGATGGCCACATCAATTCAGGACCCTAGCCACAAAGCTACCTCCTCCCACTGCTACTCTGTAGTCCTCTAGGGGGCTGTGTACTAGGTGCTGGGCCACTGGGCTTTCTGCTCATCTCACGAGACATACAACTAACCAATGACCTCTGTCTGCTCTATATTCTATGCTGTTATAGGTTTCTACCCTCCTCCAGGACCTCATCCACCCATGGGCTACTACCCACCAGGACCCTACCCACCAGGGCCCTACCCAGGTCCCGGGGGCCACACGGCCACCGTTTTGGTCCCTTCAGGGGCAGCCACCACGGTGACAGTCCTACAAGGAGAGATTTTTGAAGGTGCACCGGTACAGACGGTGTGTCCTCACTGCCAGCAGGCCATCACCACCAAGATCTCCTATGAGATCGGCCTGATGAACTTTGTGCTGGGTTTCTTCTGCTGCTTCATGGGGTAGGTATGGGGTACTGGCACAATAGGGCTAGCAAGGCACCTCTGCCCCTTCTCTTCAGGGCTCAACCTGTCTCTCCCTGTCTCTTGATTCAGGTGTGATCTGGGCTGCTGCTTGATCCCTTGCCTCATCAATGACTTCAAGGATGTGACACACACATGCCCCAGCTGCAAAGCCTACATCTACACATACAAGCGCTTGTGCTAACGGAGCAAGGCTCGGACTCCCCCACCTATCAGTCTGGCCCCCCGTGCTTTGCTCCCCATGCTCAGTGGTCGCTTCCCTACTCCCATACCCTGGGTTTGGAAGCTGTGCCACCATCCCCAGAAATCCTGTCCTCACCCTGCCCTACCCTGAGCATCTGACTCTTCCAACAAAAATGTTGGGTTTAAAGGCCAAAGGCCAGTAGGTGGCAGAGGGGTGGCACTGAACTTGTGCATTGCTGGTTATTTGGCATTTCTGATCTAGAAGATAATCTGGGAAAGTTCTCCTACAGGGGTCTTTAGTCCTCCATTTCCGTCCAAGGTCCAGTCTTGGTCCTGGCTTTCCCTGGGACCAAAAGCAACTCAAGCAGTAGTGGGTCCCAGTCTGAGGGCTGTGCCTGGAGCCACAGTTTCTGATATGTTGGGCCTAGAATGGGCGTTGCCAGAGCTGAGTGGACCCAAGCAGGACAGGGTCTTGAGGCCTGGGTTTGTTATAGGACGTTGTCCCTCTGGGGTACTACAGGCAAGACAACAGAAATAGTGACAGCCAACTCTGGCCCTCAGAACTCTCAGGTATGGAAACCCAGGATCTCTAACCCCCTGTCCAAGTGCCCAAAAGCTGCCTGGTGTAAGGTAGAAAGGATGCTAGGCAAATCATAGCCCTGGTAGCCAAGAAGGACTCTCCCTTGCCCCTTGCAGCTTTCAAGGTGGTGTACAGACTTCCTTTCTGGCCACACTTGTGAACCCCTGTATTTTCTGGGGCCAGAAGGAATACCATGAGCCTAGCGTCTCCTGTTTACCCTCTGTCCTCTCTGTGTGTGGGTGTGACCTCTGGTGGCTGCTATGTCCCAACTGGGACAGATGGCAGGTTCACTGGGATATGCAACGCCCTCTCCATTGGCTCACTTGCAGAAAGCACTGGACCCTTCTTTGCTTGTGGCTGCCGCTGTTGCTGTGCTGGCCCCTGCACTGGACTGGGGACCAGGAAGGAGCAGCTGAGTAGTAGGGGTACTTACTCTGGTGGACACCAGCCCTGTTGGGGTGCAAGCCCAGACCTGTCTTTACTTTCTGAATGGTTGGTATGTGGATGCTATATCCTGTTGCTGTCCCTCTCCTGGTCTCGCACTGCCATTGCATGGCCTCTTGTCACTGTGAATTGTGGCCTGGTCTCAGTTTGTAGTTCCTCATTAAAATGGCCCTTTCACTCCCCTGGCCTGGGCCTCTGCTCTCTTGCCTGGCTTCCTTCTTTCTGGGGAAGAGAGGGTGGGGCTATAGTAGTCTTAATTCAGGCAGGGCTTGAGCCCAACTACCTGGGAAACAATATTAATATTTAAGGACCTAATTATGGCAAATCAGAGTCAGATATAGACAAATCCCAGGGAATCCTGCAGTGACTAGCCAGCACAGTAGTGCTTTCAGCACTAGCTGTAAAGTCACCTTACTCTTTCTGATACTGGTTCTAGCCATCTATGCTCCTTGGAATTTGCCTCAAAGGATCTATAAACTGGAGACCCCTTTCCTTCTACCTTGTAGATGTTACTCTTGGTCCTTTAGCAGGATAGAGCCACTGAGCCAAGGCTTATGGTCTGAAAGTAATGGAGTACAGTCTCGGGCACCCAAGTTCAAAGCTGTGAATGTGATAGACTCAGTTTCTATAGTTTTCCCACCATTTCACAACCTTTTTTCGAATAAAACTTTTAAAAGTAATAGATTCCTATTAATAAAAATATTTAACCTCATGTTTCTGTTTTAGCTAACAAAATGTGTTCTTACTCAAAATGTATTTGAGTAAGAAAATCATAGGTCCAAGTAGACAGTAAGGATCTTTTGTAATATAGATGTCAGAATGACTGTCCTATCCTAAACAAAGGCTGCAAAGACATGAGCAGGAGTGTTGGGGAGCGGCTGTGGATTCCCTCAGCAAAAAAGGTACCCACTTCTTCACTTGGTCTACTGGGTCCAAAAGGTAGTGTGACCCATCCCATGCTAGAAGGAAGGAGGAAGTGTGCCTAGACCACTTTATTTAGTGTTATAATGTTTACACAGATAAGAAGAGGGGATAGCCCAAGCTCACTGACCTCAGGGAGTCCTGGTGGAAAGGGATATACCACTAGGGTCTCTGGGGGCAGAGGAAACCAGGAAGCCGGGGAACCTGGCTTCTTCCGCCTCAGCCTGCCCTCCCACGAGAGACCAGACATTGAACAGCAGCATCTGCACGACCTCCTTCCTCCCAAAGAGCCAGAGTACTGGCCACAAGGCAATAACGTCCAAAACCTGTCAAGCTGGAGGTTCAAGAGGTGTAGAAGCCCTAGAAAGAGCTGGATCAGAAGCCTGGGTCCACCCTGCCACGTTGCACTTCTGTGAGCTGCTATGGGGTGATAACCTGCAATTAGTACACACCTGGCCCACAGAGAGGACACTGTCAGGAAAGGCTCTAGTGTCTGGCTTTTATTGTTTGCTTGTTTTCTCAAACCCAGCATTTAGAAAAGTCACCTGAGGTGGTAATTTAGTCGGGTGGAGATTGGGGGGGTTGGGACAGTGGTCTCTTGGGAAGAGGATGCCAGCATGACAGGACAGGTCCTTCACATGTAGTACCAGGCCAAGAGTCCAGCAGCCAGGGCCACACAGGCAGCCAAAATGAACTGGAGGCTGGGCTTCCTCAGCACAGCTATGGCTGTCCGGAAGGGGCAGCTGCTGCCCTCCAGGGCACCTGTATGTGGCACAACAGGAGACATGGCTTCAGTGGGGCCATTCACATGCCCACCCCAGGAGGGGAGCTTGGGACCTACAACCTACCTTTGTCTTGTTGAGCAGCGTAGAAGGGGCATTTGCGCACGTCTCCCTTCCCGTCATGCATCGGGAGCCCATCCTGCAGGGTCTCTCTGGCCAGCATGCTGCCAGCCTGATCCAGTTCATTGAATATCTGAGAAGCAGAAATCAAGGAGCCATCCCTATATCATGTACAGACTCTGCTTCTGGAAAACTCCCTTGCTGCCCTACTACCAACACAGAGGGAGCTCTGAAGCAGGTCCAAGGTACAGCACACTAGCTGCATGAATCTAGCAGGTGATCCTGGGAGGCATGGTTTGTCTGTGCTGCTGGCACCTTACTCCATCAAGTACCTGTGGCCACTCTCCCTGAAACTGCTGTTGACCTTAGGCTCTGGGTACAGAAACAACCTCTGAGTGGTTGGCCTCAAGTAAAGGCTTCTTATAAACAATCTATTTTTCTTGGTGAATTCTGGCCTTATTCAGTTTACCAAGCAAGACTTTTCATGCTAATACTCACTAAAAAGGAAGTTTTTCCACTTCTCAATCCCAGCATCTTGTGCTGAGAGGAAAAAACAGCTCTACTCTCTCTGACCCGTGTATGCTGGCCCACATCCTCCCCAACACCAACCCTGTCAAGCCAGGCCTTTGTGCTGGGAGCCGACCACCAGGCACACCTTTTGGAGGCCAGTTTGGTTCCTTCACCTTCCTCCAGACCATGCTGCAGCTATATCTGTCCTCATGCTCCTGGTGCTCTCCTAGGAAGCTCTGGATTTGTGCCCACTGTCAAAGGTCCCTCTGAATCTCAGGCTTCTGCAGGAAAAGCTGGCCCCATGGTCAGTGCCCCATTGTAAGTACCTGCATGTTATACTCAAAGGCCCTGTTGGCCTCCTCCACGATCTTCTCTTTGGTCTTCAGGTTCAGATCCAGGGCATTCATCCTGGCCCGATAAAACTGCTTGAACTGCTGGGCATTGTCCACATTCTCAAACAGGTAGAATTGGGTTCCTTCCCCAGTGCTGGGAAGTTTCAGTGCCCGCTGGGCTACCTTCTTCAGCACTTGGCCTCCTGAGAGGTCTCCCATGTAACGGGTATAGGCATGGGCCACCAGCAGCTCCGGCTCATTCTGCCCTATGTAGTGGATCCGCTCCACATACTTCTGGGCAGCCTCGGAGCACTTCACCTGCTCTTCCCAGTTTTCACCAAAAAAATACTCCATGTCCTTGATCAGTGCCTGCTTCCGGTGCAGCTCCGTGGGGAAATACAGGGGTGTGAAGGCTGGGTGGTCCTTGTTTCGGTCCATTTCTTCCTCAAGGGCAGAGTATGTGAAGTAAAGTGCAGTGGTGGCAAGCTGTGGGGGGATGATGGAAGACTGGAAAGGGGCTGTAGGCCAGACCAGCAGGTCCAAACCTACATGTTGGAGCAACTGGAAACAAGAACTAAAACTCTTCCATATCCCCAAAACCCACCCTATGACCCATTTTTATTTACTGATCTTTGAGAATGGGATTTTTTTTTTTTTTAGGTCCGGTTATGGGGCCTAAACTCTGGGCCTGGGCGCTGTCCCTCAGCTCTTCAGCTCAAGGCTAGGGCTCTACCACTTGAGCCACAGCGCCACTTTGGGTTTTTTCTTTTTTGCTTATGTGGTGCTGAGGAATCGAACCCAGGGCCTCAGGCATGCAAGGCAAGCACTCTACCACTGAGCCACCTTTACTGATCTTTGAAACACAGATATTTTTCTTCCTTTATACTATGCTATCCATAAAGTCAGGACAGCCACAGCTTAACACCAAGAATGAATGCGTGTGGAGAAAGGCCCGGCTTGTGCCTCAAGAGGGGTGTGAAGACCACCTGGAGGACTAATTAACCTCCCACCTCCTACCCCAAACCCAAATGAAAATTTGACATCCAACCTCATCTGATTGAGAAGCACAAACCTTGAACAGTTCCTTTTGAATGTTGCCTTTCAAGAAGTCCTTGACAAATTGGGTATTTTCTGCCCGGTCATGTGCTTCTTTGGTCCCTTCCTTCAGGAGCTCAGAAAGGTCAGCCACTCTGCAGAGATGGGGTTTATGTATGTGTGTAAGAGTTAGCCCTTCCCAAAAAGGTCCACAGGACAAAATACAGATCCCATGGTGACCAGTTGCTAACCTGGAGGAAGGAGCTTCTCAGACACTTCATTCCAGCACAATAACTAAGCACGGGGAGCTTGTCAGGGAGCACAGGGCAAACAGACATAACAATCTTCTGCAAAGACTGAGGGGGCCAGGTACCAGTGGCTCATGTCTGTAATCCTTGCTCCTCAGGAGGCTGAGATCTGGAGGTTTAAAGCCAGCCCAAGCAGGAAAGTCTGTGAGACACTTATCTCCAATTAACCACTCAAAAAGCTGGAAGTAGAATTGTGGCTCAAGTGGTTGAGTGCTAGCCTTGAGCAAAAGCGTACAGGACATGAGGATGACTATGGCTTCCTCATGTCTTGTGCCTTCATTGCTAGAAACCATCCAAATGATTGACACTTTGCTTCTGTGACCATTTATTTATTTATTTATTTTGGGTCCAGTCGTGGGGCCTGAACTCTGGGCCTGAGTGCTGTCCCTCAGCTCTTCAGCTCAAGGCTAGCACTCTACCACTTGAGCCACAGCACCACTTCCGGCTTTTTTCTTTTTGCTTATGTGGTGCTGAGGGCCTCAGGCATGCAAGGCAAGCGCTCTACCACTGAGCCAACTTCCCAGCCCTTCTGTGACCATTTAGTGGCCAGAGAAACACCATTCTAATTTCAACAGTGTTAGCTAGTTTCTCCAGAAATCTGCTTTTTAGAAATGTGACTCTCAGCCGGGCACTGGTGGCTCACACCTGTAATCCTAGCTACTTAGGAGGCTGAGATCTCAAGATCACGGTTCAAAGCCAGCCCGGGCAGGAAAGTCTGTGAGACTCTTATCTCCAATAAACCACTAGAAAACCAGAAGTGGCGCTGTGGCTCAAACAGTAGAGCGCTCGCCTTGAGCTGAAGAGCACAGGAAAAGCGCCCAAGTCAGAGTTCATGCCCCACAACTGACAAAAAAGAAAAGAAAAAGAAAGAAAGAAATGTGACTCTCTCAGGATCCATGCTGCTGTGAAGACCTGCGGTAGCACATCTCCCAAGGCAGCCCTGAGTCCAATCTCTCAGGACTATATGTAGCTTGGCCCATGTATGCGAAGATGAGATAACTGAAAGGTAGGGACCAGCACGTTGGGTTTGTGTTAAAGCTGTACTCTTGGATGAATACAATGATAGCATTTGGGTTGAGGGTCATGAGCACCCACAACAGCTTAGAGAAAAACATGGCCTGTTCGTGGTCCAGCCTCTGGATTAGCTTGCATCACCCACATGCCAAGAATCCATTTATTAGCAGTCATTTCAAGGTATAAAAATGGAAATTATCGGGCTGGGAAGGTGGCTCAGTGGTAGAGCGCTTGCCTTGCATGCACGAGGCCCTGCGTTCGATTCCTTAGCACCACATAAACAAAAAGAAAAAAGCCTGAAGTGGCGAGTGTGGCTCAAGTGGTAGAGCACTAGCCTTGAGCTGAAAAGCTGAGGGACAGCGCCCAAGCCCAGAGTTCAATCCCCACGACCAGACCCCCCCCCAAAATGGAACTTAACCAATAACAGGTTTCTAATGAGAGACTACAAACTCTCTGTAACTTGAGGCTACAGGGGGGAAAAAAGACTGCTCTAGAATTCACATTCCACATTTTAAGAGAAAGTAGTCAGGCTCTACCTCTGATTACCCACTTCTCAGCTGAGATGAAAAATGCTGAGGTTGTAAAAAAAAAAAAAAAAAAGGACAGGAATACCATTAAAGCCACAACTTAGCACTCCCAGCCTGCCTCCTTGGGCAACAGAATAGAGGAAATGAGAGATACTGAGCAGTCAGGGTTGGACATGAGCCCTGAAGAACAATGAGACATGAGGGGACCACTGCTTAGGATACCTTACTACTTCCCAGGGGCACCAACAGAGGAAATCAAGTGTGTTGGGCAAGGCAGGCAGTGTGCCCTCCTGACCAGATGCAGCCAGCCTCCACTGCTCACCTGGCATGGTTTTCCTTGTCTGAGGCCACAGAGTTCTTTTTCTCTGACTCGTCCACCCCCTCGGAGGGTTCCACTTCTGCTGACATTGTTGCTGAGTGATTCTTGCTGCCTCACTCTGGTCCTGTAGAGACAGATCAAGCCAGTCCTTCAGCATCATTGTCACTCACTTGGCTAAATGCCTATCTGCTCTACCCTTCTCTAAGCCATAACCAAGGCAGTAATATACCCCTGTACCTCAGAGTTGTTGCCATTACTACACATATCACAATATAGATATATTTATATATAGACCTGTTCTCAGCACGTATGTACTGAGGGCATTCAGAAGGGACATCCTACTGTCAGTCAACCAGAAGGGTATGTGTGTAGACATGCAATCTATGTGCAGCAGAGTGTGGCTGCCTATAATCCTAGCTACCCAAGAGGCTGAGATCTGAAGACCAAAGTTCAAAGCCGGCCCAGACAGGAAAGCCTATGAAACTTTTATCTCCAGTTAACCAGTAAAAAGCCAGAAGTGTAGGTATGGCTCAAGTAGCAAAACACTAGCCTTGAGGGAAAAAGCTTCCAGACTCTTGAGTTCCAAACCCAGTATCCCGCCCCCGCCCCTTAAACATACACATATATACCAAGAGTTCTTTTTATTATTGTTAAAGTGTTTCTGTGTTTGCAACTGTCAAAATTAAAAGTTACCAGAAAATACATTTAAAAACAAGCAAAAAAAGAAAAACACTGCAGTAGTTCCCAGCTTGATAAGCAACCCAATGCTTCCATGTTACCACAACTGTACTTGAGAGTGGGGTTCCTGTTCATGTGTTTGGGCTAGATGGCTTCATGCAGAAAGAATGACAGGAACAAGGTGTTGACTGGAATTAACCAAACTATACCCAGCAGCTCCCTGTAGAGCAGAGTAGCTCACAAAGCACCCAACAATCCTGTGTCAGCTACATGAGTCATCAACACACTAACTGGCCCCAGTCTACTCAATACTCAGTTGAAGGAGATAATAAATTGGCCAACCAATTCCCATCGCCTGCTTCAAGGGCTGAGCCTTCGTCAGGCTGGGAAATACAGTCCCACATGACAAGCTCATCCTCTATCTCTGGAGGCTTCCAATTGGCAGTATAAGGGGCAGCCCAATTGGAAAACTTTCCAGCTCAACAGCAATAACCAATAAAGTTACAAAGACATCAGTACCAACATTCCACGTCAGAATGCATTAGACCAAAGAAAGAAGGAATCTTACTTTTCTACCTCAATCAGTATTTTACTATTTTCTATAAGCTGTATCTAGTTATCAAGGAAGCCCAAGAAGTTTAAGTAGCTAGGCACCAGTAGCTCCTAGCTACTCAGAGGGGTGAGATCCAAGGATTGTGGTTTGAAGCCAGTCTGAATTAGAACTAGAGGTGAGGTTCAATTAGTAAGAGTGCCAGCAATGAGCTTGAGGCCTGAGGTTCAAACTCCAGCGCACGTGCGTTTGGTCACACTCTCCCCCACCCCCTCTTACAAATCCAGCCCTTAATGGGCTAGGGATAAAGCTTAATGGTAGGTCACTTGCCTAGCATGCTTGAAGATCTGTGTTTGATCCCCAGCAATGTAAAAAAAAAAAATGCTGAGCACCGGTGATTTGAGGATCATGGTTCAAAGCCAGCCCAGGCAAGAAAGTCCGTGAGACTTCCAATTACCACCAGAAAATCGGAAATGGAGCTGTGGCTCAAGTGGTAGAGTGCTAGGCTTGAGCTGAAGAGCTCAGGTACAGCACCCATGCTCAGAGTTCAAGCCCCAAGAACGACAACAAACAAACAAAAACCACCTGTCTTATCCCACTTACTAATGTATTGGTACATATATATCTTCCTCAAGTTTCCTCTAAGCGTCTAGCTACATTCTTTTTGTTATCTTTTGGGACATTATAGGAAATGGTGTGTTCATAGGGTCAGTGGGATCAATTATAAAAATTAAATGAGGACAGGACAGCACAATGTCTGCTATGGCAAGCACTCAATATGTGTCACTGATTGTACTGGTGTGTGTTGAACCCAGAACTTCACACATGTTAGACAAGTGCTCTGCCAGTGAGCTACATCCATAGCTCTTGTACTGGGGGATAGTGATGTCTAAGAACACTAAAAAAATAAACAGCAAAATAATAAATGGACTTTCTTGACTCAAACGCACTCTCTTCTGCATAAAGCTGATGAAATCCTGGGCACTTCTGGCTTCATTCCTGTCATTCTAGCTACTCAGGAGTCTGAGATCTGAGGATCACGGTTCAAAGCCAGCCTAAGCAAGAATGTCCACGAGACTCTAATCTCCAATTAATCACCATAAAACGAGAAGTAGCACTGTGGCTCAAAGTGGTAGAGCATTAGCCTTGAGCACAAAAGCTCAGAGACAGTGCCCAGGCCCTGAGTTCAAGCCCTACAACTGGAAAGAAAAAAAAAAAAGCTGATGAAATTCATGGTCCACAGAACAGTCCAGAAAAGTACACAGGCACACAGTCATCAAGTGGGAAAGAATGCAAGTGAAGAGATGTTTCATAAAGGACTGATGCAGCACAGACAGCACATTGGCAATGGCAAGATGCCAGCTAAATGAAGGGTCTGTGTTGTACATCATAATACCAGGTTTCTGGTAAAAAATGTGGTTTTAGCTTTCTTCAGATTTGACTTATATGGTTCAAGTGGTACAGTCTCAGTCTTCAATGAAAAAGCTAAGCAAAAGGAAGAGGCCGTAAGTTCAAGACAGTGCTGACACCAAAAGAAAGAAAAAAGCCATAAATTTGTGGCTCATGCCTATAAATCCTAACTACTCAGTAGATTGATATCTGAAAGATTGTGATTTGAAGCCAGCCAGGGCAAAAACAAGTTCACTAGTCTCCATCTCCAAAATAACCAGCAAAAAAGCAGGTCTGGAGATGTGGCTTAAGTGGTAGAGTGCCAGTCAAGTTCAACAATGTCAAGTTCAAACTCCAGTATTGTCAAAAAGATTCAAAGTTGCTATTTCCTGGCTTCCAACACTCACCTTGACACATTTAGATCACAGGGCAACCTGAGATTGTTCCTACTTTTGTTAACTAACAGGGCAACCCAAGGTTGTTCCCAGAAGGGAAGATGGCACAAGCCACTACTCAGTGCCTGCAGAAAATTAGCCAGACTGCCAGGTCTTGGTGGACAAAAAAGTTACAAGGATTCCCAGACACCTAGACACAAAAGAAGGTCACAATAGCATCTGCACATCTCTATAGCACCCACTACCATAGTAACTAGAGACAGAAAAATAGATTTCAAGAATCTAAAAGTATCTGAGTACTTTAAAGTCTAAGTAATCCTATCTTTGTACTTCTGAAAACATATGCTACCTTGGAAACAGAAGTGCACAGATAGACAATATGCTCATAGAAACCTCCTGTTAAGATTAGCTTCCAGCTGGCCGCCAGTAGCTCATACTAGCTACTCAGAAGGCTGAGATGTGAGGATTATGGTTCAAAGCCATCCATGGTAGAAAAGTCCGTGAGACTCTTATCCACACACAAGCAATAAAAATATTAACCATACACACAATAAAAAATATAATAAATTAGGGACGGACACACACACACACACACACACACACA